TAATAATAATAATAATAATAATAATAATAATAATAATAACAATAATAACAATAATAATAATAATAATAATAATCACGCACTAGAAAGTAAGTAAGGCTTTACGCTCTTAAAAAGTAATTACTTAGCTAGCTTACTATAGATAAGGTTAGCTGCCTGTTTATATAAAATAGGACGTTAACTTACAGCCTGCTTAAACGTATTTTTAGGAACGTATCCACCTTTAACCTTACTTCCGGCGGCAGTTTTACCCTAGACGGAGTAGTAGGCGTTCTAGTTACCTTTACTCTAGTAAAATATATTTATAATAGTAACTCGCTCTATTAGCTTTATATCCTTTTCCTTAAATAGACTACTATTTTTAAAGTGTTCCTTAACTTTAGAAAGAGCCGCGCTTTTTATACCTGCGCTAATAGCGCCGGTAAGGCGCTTATACCTATTTCTAAACTCGGAGAGGTAGACCGAAATATTCTTATTAAGAGCTTTATTAAAGACTTAGCTAATAAAAGATATATTAGGCTTAGCTTTAAAAGATTTAAAAAATAGATTTAATTAAAGGTGTAATAGTAGATAAGAAAAATAGATGCAGAAGTATTTATATATATATATTTGCTCGATTTTATAGAACTAAGTAGCCCTTTTATATAACTAATACTTATAACTTTCCTATCCTAGTCCTAATAAAATTGTATAAAGGTTTTACCTTATTAGAAGGTTTCCTAATAAAACGGATATTGCTGCCTGCTCCCCGCTTTATTTTATTTGCCGATATTAGATATAAGCCCTAGACACCCCAGGCTACTATAATTAGAATACTTCGCATAATTATAGACCGTTAGAACTAAGCTATCCTAATAAAAGGATATGCGGTGTAGTCCGCGGAGCTAGGGATTGTATTTATAGGCAGGACAATTTTTAGAAATTTAGAGTTATAAGTAAGCTATATAGCTAAAACTATAGGTTAAGCTATAGGCTAGCAGTAAAATAGCTAAAGGGTTATTAGCATGCGCTGCCTTTAATATATATTTTACCCGGTTTAGAAGGTCTAATATTTCTTTTAAAGCCGGAATCTTATTAGAAGAGTTAGTAATAGCCGTATAGTTAGAGTTTTACCCCCTTTTTATTAGAAGTACTTAAGCTAAGAAAAAGCAGGCTATTATTAGTAATAGGTTTAGACGCTATATAGGTGGTATAGTTTAGTAATAGCAGTAAAAATAGGAAAAAAATAAGGGCGATAAATATTATAAGCATAAGGTATAATATATAATAAAACAGCAGATATAATTAACTAAGTATATATATATATAAATAAGATGCGGTCCTCTAACTTAATTAAATTACAGCATCTAAAACGCCTAAAACTTCCTTAATACTAGTATAGCCGAGGCGGAGGGCCTTTCGCCCGGATTAACTACTAATATAAGACGAAGAATATCCCTTAACTGCTCTAGTATCTCTACCTTTTAGGTCTTTTTCTCGAAAGGCGAAATTGCTTGCGGGATTAGCTCCTTTTTACTAAAATATATAGCAAATTCAACTACAGATTTAAAGGTATAGCGCTTAACCTTATTATAAGTAGGAATATACTAGTTAGAAAAGAGCCGTTTAATCTTTGCTATATACTAAGCCTTATTAATAAAAGGATAAGAGCTGTCCCCTGCGCCTAAAATACTAGGCTTAATCTAGTAAAGCAGTATTGCGGCAACTGCCTAGACCTGCAATAGCTTAGTACACGCCTGGCCTAAGAAAACTTTAAGAGCGCGTATAGCGTATAGCTAGGCATTAAAAAGATAGCCGGCCGGAATAACTATAAGTATATTAGTAAAAGCGTCTGTTTTATCTAGTAATACTTGCTTACTAAGTCCTAAGTCTTCTACTTTAGCAATAACACGGCTAGTTTTAATACTAGAAAGCAGGATATTAGCGGGTTTATAGTTTAGGCTAATTAGCGGATACTAACTTTTTAAGATTAGATACTATACCTATATTCACGTATTATTAGCCGTCTAGAATATTGCAACTAGTTAATATTTCCTTTAGAACCGTTTTAATAAGGGCGTAGATGCGCATATTAGGCTGGTATTTTACATCTATAAAAGTAGTGTCCAGCTATTTTAAAGCAATAGTGCGGTTATTAATTATATTATATATTTGCCGGAAGCACTTAGCTGAGGCGATACCGGGAAGGAGATAACTCTAATATTTACGGTCTAGGTTTTCCGTGGCAATTTTATTATTAGGCGAAGCTGTTTTAATAATAGCCCTAGGTGGCTAAGTTAGTATTAGAATTTAGATATAGTTAATATAATATAACAAACTATTAGAAGGCATTAGGGGTATTCTTACATAGAATAACCTTAGCTTTAAAAACAGCGGATGCGTATATATTATCTCCTTTAATAGTACCTATAATATAGTAGTTCTAATAGGCGCCTTAAAGGTGTTTAAGAGTAAGAGATAATATAGTTCTTAATAAAGAGTTCCTTATAGCAGGGAAATTTAAAAGGATAAGTAAGCGTATTATAAAAATATAAAAGGTAAAAAGGTTTAGCAGATAGCAGGTTTATTTATATAGGTGGGTAGATAAATAATAATAAAAAAGATATTAGTAGATGCCTAACGCGCACGGACCTATACTTAGGTGTAGGTCCGCTAAAACCTAAAACCGGCCCCGGGCTCCAACGCTTTAACTAGAATAGGCGCCTTTCTAATAAAAAGTAAAGGGGGTAGTTAAGGCAGCGGCCGAGCGACTATAACAAGCACTATATAAGTGTAGTATATATACTTCTACTAAATATACGGCATATATATACTCTAGACGGCAGGCAACTAGCTAGTAGATAGCTATATATAATATAATTGTTTATAGTTAAGAAATACGCTATATTTAGCCTTAGTAGTATTAGGGCTACTAGCTTATATAGGCTACTAGCTTATAAACTACTTTAGTATAGTCTCTATAACTAAGCCTTAAATAAGTTCCCTTTGCCCCTTCTTAATAGGCCTTTTCTATTTATAGCTCTACTTTTAAAAAGCTATAGGTAATCCTATTAAAGATAAACTTAATTTATTTCGCAATATATTAAAGTTAACGTTTCCTAACGCAAATACTTAAAAATATCTGCTTTCTTCTAAGGGCCTTACTGCTAATTTAGGTAAGGGCAGAATTTAACTATATATAACTTAGCTAACTAATACAGTTAGAAAAGGTCTGTTTCTTAAACTTATAGGTATTTTATAGCTGCTTCTAGCTGTCTCTGCGTTATCTTTTAAATATAGCAAAAGCCCTTTTAGTGCGGATATTGCGTTATTATATACCCGTTTTTTATTAAATTAAACGGATTTCAGGCATACTACGCAGCTTATAAAAAACATCCACGCCCGCGCAGAAGATCCTATAATATAGAGCACCGTGTTCGACCTTATTACGCGGATAAGACTAACCCTCTATCTAACTACCCCTTCTTAATCCGCCGCCTCCTTCGCTATATTGTTCTAGCAGATATTTTAGTCTTTTAATACGGGCAGTTTCGCGGATATATCTAACCTAAGGAAGGACGTTAATCTAATCCTAAAGGGCGAACTAAAGGGGAATCTTATTAACTACACTTTTTTAATATATTCTTTAGCAGAGTCCCACAGCTTAGTAAAATAGCCGCAGCTGTATTTAAGTAATATAAGGAAGCTAAAATCCCTCTATACACGGACGACACCGGCTAGGCGGAGTAGCTAAAGAATTATGCGGAGCCTAATATACTACACTAGCTCCGTTACTATATTAACTAATTTCTCTAGTTTGCGAATAAATAAAGCTTCTAACCTCTAAGGCGTTGGCGGTGCTTTACCACACTAAATAAGCCTATCCCCGGATTTGTTAGCAAACGGAAGCTGGATATTAGTATTATCTATAGCCGGCGGAACGAGACCGATAATAGTGCTTCCTGCAACTAGTATAATATTCTTATCCCAGGCGAGCTAAAAAGCAACCCGCGAGAGGATAACTATAATAGTACCTGGCTCGATCTGTCTTAATATGCTTAGGAGATCTTTACTGCGTAAAACACCCGATAACCTGTTACCGACTAGGAGCGGTCGCGTTATAATTATTTAATATAACGTCCGTCCCTAGGTCGCGGAAAACCTACTATACCGGAAAATAAAAGGGGTATTTTGATTTTAAGCAACTATAACTCTACGCACACGTTAGTATTTACTATAATTTTATATTAGTTGTATACTATAGCAACTTTTAAATATTTAGGACCTTTTTTAGCTATAAATTATATTTATATTATTGCCTTCGTGCCTAATTTGCAGAGAGCCTCTTTTTATAGCGTAATAGGATTACCTTCCTATAGCACTACTGTTAAGCTCTTACCACTCTTAGTACTAATAAAAGGTTTTTACTTAAGCCTTAGAACCTCGCTATAATACTAAGAAGTTATTATTAGCCTTATATCTGCTGTGGCGCGCAAATTTATATAAGGTCGCCGCGCTAATTAGTACCTCTATTTAAAGCAATCGCTAATCCTAGTTAGTGTATAATAGCTCCGTATACCTTATATAATTATTACGGAGTAATTTATTTATATTAGCTTAGTAAGCCTAAGCTTATAGCTATTCGGCCTGTAGCTGTGCGAAGTCTATATAGAATTTTAGTAAGCCAGCTATTAGCCCCGCAGCCTTATAATCTAATTCTACTTTAGCTATACCTTTAGTTAACTAAAACACCTACAGAAACCGCTACCTTATAAAGGTATAGCTAGAGCAGGTTAGCCGCCCTCTCTGCTAGCGTTATTAAGGTGCTTATCCGCTTTTTAACCTTCTACTTTAGCTGCTTATAAATTTACCTCCTGCTAAAGTCTAACCGCTATATATTAGTTCTACTGCGCTATACTATAAGCTGTATAATTAGCCGCGCCTGCCCTAGACTAAGCGTGTTTAAACTCCCTTATTATAAAACTAAGGATATACTAAAGTAGAGCAGAATTAGCTTATAGTACTATTATATTATCTTACTTTTAAATGCGATGCTCCGGTATAGCTTAACGCCCTATTTTCCTGTATACTTGCTAACGGCAATAGCTAGGACGGATATTCTTAGATAAACTAGCTACTATACTTATTTATTTACTTACGCGGCCTTAATTAATCCTTCTAAGCCTTATTCCTACCGCCTGCGCTTAATAAAACTCCTTACAAAATAAAGCACCTGCTATGCAGTAGCACTAGCAATTTCAGCCTTACTAAAGATATTAGGCGACGATATAGTTCCTTTTAGTAGCTAGGCCTAAGTTAGGGATTCTACTTTCCGAATACTATAGCCCTAGATATAGGAACTTATTTTAGAGGCAAAGGTTTTAGTGCATAGAAAGGTACTAGTAATCTAAAATATATCTTTAGTACTAGCCGCTGGACTAGGTCGGATCTTATCCAGCATATTTTATTAATATTATTATACTAATATACTAGAAAAGGATTACCCCTTAACTTCT